TATACAATTTGTTTCTCCATAGTCTGTAAAAGCAAAACATGAAAAGTCAGCAAGATATTCCTTAGGTCCAGTAGCCAAGAATTGCTTTCTCCATTCCCTGCTCCCAAGCAGCAGAGCGGGAACTGCCAGATGGGCTTTTGCATCGAGCCTCGCGGGGAGCGGAGGTCTGAGCCATCTGACTCACCCTTTACTGACAAGCCCTCGGAGCTGGCAGAAGCCTTCCAGCTGCATAACATGTACGTGAGAAAGCGAGGTAGGGAGGGGAAAAGAAAAAGGCAGGCTCAAGGAAGCTGAATACAAAAAGAAAGCCGGTGATAACACATAACTGAAGATAATGAAGCCTGATAGGAAACCTAAAGAGCATATTATCAAAGCTATTTCATTAAAATCTGAGGCACAATTACAGGGAAAGAATTTCTTGTACAACTAAAGGTGGTAGAAGCCAGCTAGAAGCACAGGGAGAGATTGGGAGACAGGACAAGACTGCAGAGCTGATGGAGGAAAAGGAACTTGCCTTCTTCAGATCAGAAACTAATACATTATCATCTTTAAGAAGCAGATGAAATTTAAAATAAATAAAAAAAATCTACATACCTGGCCTCTGCTTACCAGGAAATTATATCCTTCAATAAAATTCAGTAAAAAGAAAATGTGGTTTTTAATGTATAACACGTTCAATACCTAAAATATATTTTGTGCACTCAAATCTCAGCATAAGTGTTTGAGAAGTGTTTTAAAATGCTACTTAGACCCTGCACTACTTTATTAATTTAGTGTTTCTCTTTAAATGTTTTTGAATGGGATTTTTGCAATTGCAAATAAACCCCCTTCCCTAACGTAGCCAGTCCCTAAACAACACCACATTTATCTGGTGCAATACTGCTCATTAGGAGCATGTCTCAATCCCAACAAAGTTCAGTGCATCAAAGAGGAATATGTATCAAAGCAAAGTGCTTAAACACACAGATTTCAATACTAAATTCAACATTCCACTAAGGTTTTCATGGACACTTAATTGACCTCTGGGGACTCAGTCACTAAAGTAGAATTTAGTCCAGAAAACTAAACTTACATTTTGCATTGAGATGTTCATTTCTGGAAAACCAATGGATTATTCTAAATCAGCAGGGGTGGTAAAAATAGGAAGCAGTATTTAATTAAACCAACATTAAGATCTCAAAGGATTGCTGTAACATGGGACTCCCCCCCCAGCCCTTTACAAAGAAAAATCCTAGCCAGAAACACAACAACATGGATATAAATTTCTTCTAAATTAATTAGCAGCAATGTACATTTGCAACATCTTGAAGGAACACTCAAAAGTAGCTAGTAAATACAGTGTGCTGTTCCCTGAATGGTGAAGGAGCAGACTCACTCAACTTGAAGTACAAATCTCTTGCCTAGAACAATGTAACAAATACCAAAAGGAAGCCCACAATACCCAGAAAAGTTTCAGTTTCTGTTTTATGCAGCGTGACACATATTACAAGGTTCATTCACTGTTCCTTTGCATCTTTAGATTACTGGACAAATGTACAGTCAATTTTACTTTTGGTTTTAAGGAAGATTTTTCTGTCCTCAGAATAAAGGTTTGTCACAAAAAGAGGATAACCAATGCATAAATACTTCTCTTTCATTAGGGGCTTTTAAAAAAAATGCTGTTACTTCAAAACAGAACCACTCCATCCACTGGTCTCTGACAACATTAAAATGAAAGGTGGCATTACCAGCAGCAGTGACTTTTCACCTCACTTTTCAGGCCTGAACCATTAATTTCTCAAAAAAAACCCCAAACCCAAAGAGCTGCTTTTTTCTGTTGTTATCTACTGCTGGAATATTTAAAACTTCTTTTACATTTAACAGTACATTTTCTGTCCTACAGCATCTATTTTTCACACACTTTGTTTATGGAGCCCTCATAATAATGCATTCACCTTCATTATCCATTTTAAATTGGTAGTCAAACTGGTAGACTAGGACAAAATAAACAATCCTTAAAAAAAATATTTCAAGAGACTTATTTTTTCTACAGCAGAAACGAAACATGCATTATCTGCTTCTAAGGTACTGTCATTACTTTATTTATTGAGAATATTCCCCTGAAATACTTAACACAAGCAAAACCATGAGTCTCCTACCAGTAGCGCCTGTCCCACCTCAGCGGTTCACACACCATACCAGGACCCTGGTTATCTTCCTTTCAAAGCTAATCAAATAACTCAAAAATCAAGTGGTAAGTGACAACTAATAATCACTATTACTTACTCAGGCCTGCCATTTGCATTCAAATCTCTGCAGGAAGGCCCAAGCAAACAAAACAATTCCGAATTCAGTAAGACATACAAAGTTAGGTTAAGAGTGTCAGAAGCTATTACTATTCTCCATTAAAGCATACTGGTTTCACCAGATGGGATCAGGAGGAAATTCCTCAGTAACCACCAAAGCACTGGATACATTATGAAAATTTTATTTCTTCCTCCAGAGAGAAATGTAACATGGGGTAAAGACACCACTGAACTCTCCTCGTAATGGCAAGCCTGGTATTCAGACTTAATATACTGCACATGAGCTATCATGACTAGAAGTGCAGGCAATCTGTCTATTAATTTCTCAGAAGAACAATCTCATTTGTACATTGGCTTTAATCATAAGATAACTTGCTTTGAGATCTCCATGAGCAGTACATTACAGGAGTTTCACGTGCCATGATCTATGAAAAAGAGCTGAGTGCGTGTTCCAACAGGCTGGGGAAAATGCGAGCGGTAATTATTTCAGTAACATCAGCACTGTTTTTCTAACCGGTTTTATAATACCACCTGGCTCAGGAAATGATAAAAGGTTCTTAAAGGACTATGCAGAAAAGGTAAGACGACATTGATAGAGAAGCTTCAAAGGAGTTGAGATAAGAATGAGTGGGAAAACTGGAGCAGCTGCCTGCCTGGCTCTGTCCAGGTGAGGACACTTACACTTCCCAAGCCAGAGCCAAAGCAAGTACCTGTACCTGCTTTTCCAGTGGCAGCTGATCCAGGTCAGGAGACCATTGCCCCACTGTGTCCCTTTTTCTCCTAGGGATTTCTTTGTTCCCTGAGATCTACTGAAGTAACTGCATGCATTAATTGTTTCCTAAGGTAGTTTCTGAGTATGTAATCTAGTTTAAAATAAACATTTACATGAAGGGTTCTGGATATGGTTTCCTATGGTGCTTTTAAAAGAAAAACACAACAAAAACCCAGTTATGTTAAGAACATCCAGCTTAGGGAGCAGCTGCAATTGCAGATGTGCCCGGGTGCAAGAGATAATTTAAACCCTTAAAACACCATTAGTACTGGGGAAGGTTTGTGTGGAGAGGGAATAACTATAAACCTCTCACACTCAGCCAGGTAAGAAAACTACAGAATTTCACTCAAGAAGTGAGTGCAGTCTCATGCCTACCATGCTTCAGAGACCAAAACAGTCCTTTTCTTTAAAGCAAAGACATACATTCAACTGACTCAGAACCACAACACAAACCAAAATAGATTGCATAAACACATAAAATATATCCTTATTTAACAGTTTGGTCTTACCTTTCTTAGATAAATGAATTCAAGGGAGTACTAAGAAAGTGTGGTAAAAACCCCAAAAAGATACTCAAATATTAGATTTAAAACATTAAGATACTCTATCAGGAACTTAAACTGTACCATGACAAAACCAAGAAACACCCTACTACAAACAAGAAAAATACTCAACAACCACATGAATAAATATGCCAATACCAAGCTCATAACCAGAAATCCTACTTCCCATTATAAGGCTTCATGCTTTCCATCAAACAGTCCAATGTTGAGAATATCGACTCTATAAACATTGGAGCACACATTTGCTACACAGACATCCAAAATGAAATGAAGCTGAGTAACTCTCAGTGAAAAATGAAGTTAAACTCTCTATAAGCTAGATCATTTATTCTTGTTAATATACATATACTCTCAACAGTGTAAAGAGGTGTGCTGGGGACTATGAAGAATACAGGCTGCATATTTCATTCAAATCTTTATTGCCGGTTGGAGATAAATCTTGAGGATCTGCAAGACCAACTGATTAACTGAAGTTAATAATACCATACTGGGTCAAACCAACATTTCATCTGTTACCACGCTCTGACAGACACAGTAAGCGATGCTATTTAGGGAGAACATAACAAGCCTGGCCACTCTTTGTGGCCTGTTCCTTTCCCCAGCATCCACAATCCCAGTATCACTGATGATAAAAGATCTGTTCCTGCCTATTCCATTACGCATCTGTTTTGGACATATCTGTGAATCAGTCCAATCACTTTTTGAATTTGCTGATATTATCTGTCTCCACCACCTCCTGAGACAACGAAACACAGCAGCAACCTGCAGAATCACCAAACCCTGTCTTTTAGTAAAATTCGTGCAGAACTCATGCACTACTACTATCTTTGCTGGGAGCACAGGGAGATACAGAAGACTCATTATATTCAGGAAGAGGGAATATCTTCTGTTATATCCAAACAACTTTCAAGACCTGATGAAGAATTTGCATACTCAAAAGCCTGCCTGCTTTTCCCAGATCTATTAGCTGATCTAAAAGTATATTGATTCCCCCTACAAACCTAGTAACTATGCACTTTACGGATGCTTATTCAAGCTCATCCTGAGACTGTGGTAAGGTTCATTCCTCCCCGTTTAAGTATTCTTGAATATAAATACATGACTGTATCTGATTTTCTTTAAACCTGGAAAAGCACATATGTTCATTTCACAAATTTTTATCATATATGAGAAATAACTAGCTTATTTTTCCTCTTCACTCTTGGTACCAAGTGCAAAGACTTTTCAAAACAGCAAAAGCATATAAAGATATTCCACAACAACTGTCCTGCTGACACTTAAAAGAAGGGGTATAGCCTCTCTCAAGCCATCATATAAACATGTTTTCAACCAACGGAGTTGCAATTAAGCTGTTTAACTTGTCTTTTCTCTTTATTTTACCTGCCAAGTCTCAAACGCCTGCTTGTAGCTTCACAAGGCTCCTCAACCTCATAGAAGCCAGGGCTCTGGTCTTCCACGCTGCTGGAGTTCTGACATTCAAAACAGAGATTTCTCCCAGCACCCACAGCAAAAGGCAAGTTCTCATACTCAGGTATTTCCTCATAGTGACGCACGTTCTCATACTCTGGAGCACAAGTGCTGGTTACAGAATTCAAATGCAGTTGTGACAAGTTCTCTCCCAACAGTACATGCCCGCCAAAAGACTCCAGCCCTTGGTTACTTCGCATCTCAGGCTGACTTCTGTTTCTCTGTCTCTTCTTTTGTAACGCTGGACTATTTATTTCTACAGAATGTGCCTTGGCAGACTTAGCTTTCCTTTCATTGCCTACAGATGCTATATTCCGGTTGCTACCAATTCCATACCCATCCCCAGCAGAAAGGCTGGCAATAGTACTATCCACTGACTGGCTGCCTTTAGACAGAAATTTTTGGAAGTCGCTTTTCATTAAGCAAACTGACAGTTTCATGTTGAGAAACTTTTTCAAGCTATTTTTCTTCTGATGGTCTTTGCAAGGCTTGTCTGTCCTATCCATGTCCACAGAAGAGAGAGATTTGGCCCTAGGCTTTGTCACAACAGTCAAGTGGTTGAAGCTAGTAGCAATGTTAGCAGTTTTTAATGATTCAGAATTTCCTGAAAATGGAAGAATAGGATGAGGTAACTTCCAGACAGGTTTCTCAGAAGAACGTTTGGGTACATCACAGGATGACAGTGGGCCTTGTTCCTTGGCTGGTGGACACGTGAAGCAAGATCCTTCCAGAGCACTGTTTAATTTGTCCTCACTGGAGGTGTAAGAACTTTTCTCTACAAGCTCTGCTGATGCAGCTTTTTTCAGCAGGCCAGCAGCTGGTAGGGTGTGCCTCTGTGGTTTCTTAGGAACAATTCTTGGAGAACTTTCATCCTTTGTTTTAACTTCTTTATCTTCCAATATTTGTGGGGAAACATGTAGGCTACTGGAAGCAGATGAGTGCTGAGTGTCAGTTAATTTGAGTTGCTTTGGCAAACTCATGGACAAAGTATCACATCTGACAAAGTTAGTCCTTTTGTCCACAGCATCTAGCATACTGGCATCATCTGTCATCTCATCCATGGCATTAGTTAAGTTATGGTCTGCATCTAAAGAACATTCAACACTTTCCACCAAATCAGACATTTTGTGTGACAACTGAGGCAAAAGATTTTGTGACGTTGACTCTTCTGTAGCAGATTCCTTCACCCGATGCCTTTTGTCTGCATTGCTTTGAGTTACCTCACATTTTTCAGGATGAAGCATTTCTGTATTGTTATAACAAACACTTTGACCAAGGATATTAATTTTTGCGGGCTTTTTAAAGCTTTGTTCCACAAGCCCAAAGGAATCTTTCTCTGAATTAGATGATTCCTTTGTTCCCTCTCCTGTGGAGTCTATGCCATCCTGACGGACTAGACAAGCAGCACGTGGCTTTCTTGGCTTAGGGACAGGAAGCACTTTTGAGGTCAGGACTGAAAGCGTTTTGGAGGAGGTTTTATCAGCATCTACTTTCATACCCATTTCCCCTGAAAATGTACTATTGCTACTTAAATTTTCATTTTCCAGGATTTCCTGGTCCAATGGGCAAGAGCAACTGTGGTTATTTTCAGTCAAACTAGGACAAATTTTAGACGTCTGAAACTCATCAGCAGTGAGCTTACTGTCATTATTTTGTTGCTTCCCTTTAGCTACCTCAGAAGATGACGAAGACTGTACAAGTTCCACAAACTCTATTTTAACATCATTCTTGGAACTGCTGCCATCCGCTTTGTCAAGTTTGTCTGCATACCTGTGCCTCACAGGACTGCTGTTAGGAAATACACTATGAGTTAGCACATCCTTAAGTTTCTCTTCCAAAATGCTGGCTTTCAAAACCACCTGATTTCTATTTGCCAACTTTTCATTGTGACTATCCCCCAGTGCAGTTTTTTCATTGACTTTGATGTTCTCCAAGTTTTCAAAGTGCTCAAAAATTATCTGAGTTTTACAGGCATTGTCCCCATTTCCAAGCTTATGAAGGCATTCAAATTTGCAAGATGACATTGGTAGAATATATGCTGTGTTACTAGTACTCCCTTCTGAGACTTCATTTTTGTAGTTCAAGTGGTCTAGTGTTTGAGAAGAATCACCCCTGTGCTCCTCAAAGCTTTTTGTGCTTTTTTGTGTACATGATGGAGGTTTAACTTCTGGAACAGATGAGCTCTTGAGAACCTTTGGTTTTGGTGCAATTGCTGGCTTGGTTTTCCTTGCTGCTTGTATAACACCAGAAAGTACAAGATCAGGCTTCGGTGCAACAGGTGGAGGCGTCGCCTTGTGTCCTACCACAAATTTTGGTTTAGGGGCCACTGGTGGCTTCTTAATTTCTAGGAAGGATGGAAAACAAAGATGTTAGTCACCATCAGCCCACAGAATAACTTTACCTGCACCAAAGTATTATTAGGAGTTTTGTAACATTTAAATCACATGATCTACAGGATCTTAGTGTGTGTATGTATACATTTTTCTCCTAAAAACATGCCTCCCTTCCCTACCACCGCTTTTTTACTAGTTGCCTTTCTTGATTCTAACAGGCACAAGCAAGGAGTGGTGGGAAAAGTCTTCAAGGGTAACTTGTTCATTAAAAAAAGCTTAACTTTATGAAAGTGCATGTCCTTGCTCAGATACTAATATGATGCGTAATACTAAGCTTAGTATGATGCTAATAACGAGTAGATTAGCCTGGTTTTGCAATTTGAACTATTAAAATACAATTTAAAAATGGTGCAAATATGTTAAGGGCCTCAGGTACAATAAGCCATAAAGATAACAGAACAGCTAGGGTAACTACCAGGACAGTCCCGTCCCCTACCACCTCTGGAAATGTGTAACCTGAAATTCCCCTTTCCCTTCCTCTTCTTTTCAAACAATACTGAGCTGTGAAACTGGCACATCACTACCATCAGTTCAAGAAATGAGTCTGTGGTGTGAAGTTAATGCAGTAATGTGTAGCAAGTCAGTACTTTCCTACTGTAAAATACTATTTCTGTGCTTCATATAAAATTACTCTTCCCAACGTGTTACCATCTGACCTAGAAACAATCACCACTGCTATGACTTATGACCCACTTGACAGCACAAGATGACAAACCCTAGGGAGAGTGGACAGCAGGAAAAGGAGCACATGAGGAACTTGGAGATTATGGAGTTTTGTTTGTGGTGGTGTTTTTGGGTGGTTAGGGGGTTTTTGCTTGGTTGGTTGGTTTGGGGTTTTTTGTGTTTGTGTCTTGTTTTGTTTTTTTTAATTAAAGTACGCCTGAAACATTTTAATATTTCAGGAGATCATTTATGACCAATTTATTTCCATATGCTGGAATAATTTCAGATTGCTAAGTGCTTTGAGTACTTTTTGACATAGGAAAACTGATTTATAAAGTACACAAGTTTCTCATTCTCTTTTTTATATACTGCCTCTGTATTTATTAGCTTTGTTTTGAATAATATTTTGGTATACATGCAGAAAGTCACACACGTTAAATAAAACTCTCAAGAAAACATGCTAAAACATGCAAAAGGGTTGAGTAAGCCATTGATTTACTATTCCCTTTGAATGGTGGGTTTGGTATTTTGTTGGTTTTTATCACCATTATTACTATTATTATTATTACAGATGTGCGCCTTGTGCAACTATATCCTAATCTTTACCCTAGAAATACAAGAATAAAGTTTCAGGCTTGGGGTTTTTCCCCGTTTTGGATACTTTTTTGTTTGAAAGAAATCTAGATGGTAAAAAAAAAAAAAAAAAAACACACAAAAACAAAATACAACAAAACAGGCAGATGCCTGAGTTGCAAGCATTTCCCAAACACTAAGCCACTGCTCTAAGCAGACGGCCAGAAATAATGTCTCTACTATAGAAACAGGAAAACCATGTTTTTCTAGGACATGAATCATTAAATGGTATCCAGACTGACTCCACTTACACTTAGAATAGCTGCCCTCGCGGCAATTACATTAGCAAAGAGGTAAACCTGATGGTAGAGACAATTTTTGCAGTATTTTGCAAGAGGAAACACCGAATTTCTTTCCAAAGGTACAGCTCCCTATAGCCACTAATGACAGCTAAGAGCGACCCAACTACCAGCTACCGCACGGGACATACCACCTTCTGCTATTTGTACAAAGACAGGGGTTTCCCACACAGTGAAGAGTCAACAGTTTGCTAGGGGAAAAAAAAAATAACCCTTTGGATGGGCAACCACTGATCCTGAAGAGCAAGAGAATTGTACACTCACTTTCAGACAAGGCAACTGCCTATTCAGTTGGAGAACAAAGTGATAGCAATAAAGGAGCCTGTTTCCTACAGTTAAAACTGAGGAAGGGATGCCCAGTTTTCACAGAACACAATGCAGTAGTAGACCCAGGCCAAGTTCAGTAATATTTATTAAGATATTAAAGCTTCCTGAAAACGGAAGATAGACAGCCAGCTTGGGAACCCTTCCTGATGCCCAAATGAGAGAAACAAGATTGAAGAAGACACAGGAGATTAAACACTGGCTAGGTAAGCTGTATCCTCTGGACTGCTTGTCCCACTCCACAAATGGAAGTTTCTCTAGTGGGACCACCTAACGTTTTGGAGAGCAATCAAATTAGACTGCTCTGCAGGGCTTTCAACTAGTATTCCTTAGGGAGAACACTCAGAAGGTATGATATGATGCCATTACCTGAATATAAGATTCAAAACTAAAACATGAAAATGTAAAGGGATGCAAAGAAAACTAACCAGTTGTTTAGACGCCAATAGTGGAAACCTGGACAATGAACAAGAGTCAGAAAAATTCACTTCTGATAGTAAGTGCGACTCAATACGACTTCTGAAGCCTACTAGAATTTTTCTAATTACTTCAACATTAAAAAGCATTGCAACAGACAAAAGAAACTGGCAAGTTGTGTGGTACAATAAAGACACTACTATTATTGCTTGTTTCATCTAGAGCAGATATGGGTCAAAGTATTAACAGGAACATTACAGTCTTGGTATCAATACAGATCTGCACTAGACTGCTCAATTAGAAAGGAATGCGATGAGAAGCCCTTTCAAACATAAGTATGACGTGAGAAGAAAGACTTCAGGAAGGGAATGCATACCACTAGTTTTCCTCAACAAAATATCTTTTCAGTTTCTGAAAAATACAACTGATGAACTTACGAAAAAATCACAGCAGCTAGGCAAAGGTAAAAGTATATTAGATTTCAATTAGAAATCAAGAATTGAAGTTCAGTTGATTATAAAATAATTTAATTCACCCTGTGCGGATAAAAAAATAGTTTCTGTGTAACACAGTGTTTTGAAAGGGACAATTTCCCAGCCTGAGTAGAAAGAAAACTAAGTAGGAGGCAACTGTTATATATAAAGGTGTAAGGAGTGACTGGAAGTCATATGAGAATATGCTGAGCATTTTTGTTAAATGATAAGCATAAGCAAGCCTCTTTGGTGAAAAACAACAAATATAATCAAGGAAACGTTATATAACAAATGCATAGATTGGTCAGTTGTTTGGACAACGCACTTTTTCTTGGTGCCATATGGAACTGTTCAACTAAGAATAGAGATGGTTGGTTACACTTCAGGGAGTAAAAGCTGAAGGGAATTTAGAAGTCATAGCAGACAGTCATTTTATAGCAGCTCCATGCAGGTCTGCAGCTAAGTGGTAAATCACCCTCTGAAGTACAAGGAGATAAATATCAAAAGATGAAGGGAGCTGAAAATATTTCTGTACACAGCACCTGCCAGACTCTTAGTGATATGCTATGTCACTATCTGACTTTCTTATGCAAGACATAACTACAGAAGTATCCAAGGTCTAAAAATCATGCCTTGAACACCAGGAAAGCTCATCCTGCTTAATTCAACCAAGAATTTAAGAAGTGAGATGGTAATAATATATACATTTATGCACATGTGAAAGAATTTTGATAACAGGCGGCTCTTTAATCAGGAAAAAGAAGAGACACTATGAGATGCCACAGCTGACCACTTAAGTTTGACAAGTTCAAACTAGAAACAAAGCTTTAAAATTATTATTAAACTGTTCTGGTTTTTAGCTGGAACAGAGCTGAATTTCTTTTTAGTAGCTAGAATTGTGCTGCGTTTTGGTTTCAGCCTGGGATTTCTTATGAGAGAAACGCTGATAACATACCAGTGTTTTCACTTTTGTCCCTGGAAGTTGAAGGACTTTGTGTTCTGTTAGTCTACAAGTGCAAGATCTAGGGAGGGCAAGGAATATTTAAATTAATAAGCTAAATTGGCATTTAGATATACCAATGGGATATTCCATATCATATCACGTTATGCCCAGTATTCTAGTGAGGGCCTCTTCCTCTTTTAGCTCTCTCTGGCTTTCGCTCGGGCTCTCACACTTCCAGGATTGCCGTTTCAGTTCGGGATTGTGACTCCTCCAGGATTGTTATCTGGGAACAGGCTGGGCTTGGTTGGTGGGTGGTGAGCAATTGCCCTGTGTATCACTGATTTGTATGTTTTATTTCTGTTATCATTATCTCTCCTATTTTAATATTAGTATTATTTTAAGTTTTCTTTTATTTCTACTATTAAACTGTTCTTATCTCAACCTACAAGTCTCCTTACCCTTGTCCCCTAATCCTCTCCCCTGTGCCCTGGGGGTGGAGGGGAAGTGGGTGACCGGCTGTATTGGCTGCTAGCCAAGGGCTAGCCCAGTGAAACTATCATATAAACCCAAAGGATAATTAACTACAGCAACATCTTGCCCAGAGTTGTGGTGGAGCCACCAGCACTTACAGTCAACCTAAACTCATTTTCTGAGATATGTAGAAGTTTCAGAGGAAATTTTGGACTTGACATTGGGATCTCTAGCTTGTCTCACTCAGGAGATTAGAACAGAGAATTACTATGATTTCCCCTACTCTCCCTTCCAGTCTTACCCCATTTCTCAGAGAGGATCCCTGTATCCAGACTACCATCATAGGTTACTAGTAATAAACCCAAATGTAAGAGCAGAAACACAAAATTTTATTTGCATAAACAGATTAAATTATTAGAAGCCAGAGAAGCAGCCAGAGATATCCTCTGACTTGCTTGACTAGGCAAAGGAAGAAATACATAAATAAAGTGACTAGCACAGCTGCCATCACCAACAGGAAATCTGCTGCTCATCTTGGAACAGCCAACACTGTGTTCAGTGCTGAATTAAAAAAAAAAAAAAGAAGCAAGCTTAAAAATACCAACACATCCCACACCCTTAAAAAAAAATGGATTAAAAAGGGCATTATTTTTCTAACAATAAGTAGCCATTAGCACTACCTATGCAGGTCAATGCATATGCTCTTTGCCCGACTTCAGGTCACAGCA